AGGGGGAGGGGAGGGGTGTGGCCTGCCTGCCGGGCCCCTGACCGTCCCCCCGCCCTCCTGCCCGCAGGTCTACATGAACGCCGTGTGGCACGGCTGGGCCATCCCCATGTTCTTGTTCCTGGCAATTCTGAGGCTGTCCCTCAATTACCTCATAGCCAGGTGGGTGAGCTGGTTGGTTGTGTGCACGGGCCGGGCTGTCCCCGTGTCACACATATCATGTCACGCACACCTGACAGCCCCGCGGCTCTGCCCGCGCACTGGCCTTGTGGGTCCTCTGTGGGCTCCGAGCCTCCGCTGTCCTGGGGCGGCCGTGGCTGATTCCGAAACTCCCCAGCGGCCCGTGGCGCCGGCTGCAGGCGGCTCTAGCCCCTCCTCCGATGAGCTCTGTGTTGGCAAGAAAGCTCCCCCAAACCTCAGGGACAAAGCGGGGGGGCACGGAGCTGCGAAGGGCCCGTGTCCGGGCAGGCCCTGCCGCGTGTAGGACGGGCGGATCCCCAGCGAGCGCCTGAGCGCCTGGTCTGCGTGTCTCCCCTTCCTGTCTCTGAGCCCCGAGCAAGGCCGTGGGGGGCTCTGTAGGGGGCTTTGTGGGGAGTCAGTCCTGTGCTACTGGGTCTGTCTGAACTCATGGTTGCCCCAGCACAGTGAACCCCAATTCCACGGGCCTGAGAGCCCCACGCTCTGCACTGGGCCCGTGGCTCAGCATGCTCACCCCACATTCTCCCAGGTGCCGCCTCAGTCAGTGCTGGTGGGGGCCGCCCTCCAGGCCAGACACCCTCAGCCGCAGGCCTCGCAGCGGCCTCACCCACATTTCCTTTTTTTTTTTTTTTTACATATATTTTATTCATTTCAGAGAGGAAGGGAGATGGGGAGAGAGAGAGAGACATCAATGATGATTGATCGGCTGCCTCCTGCATGCTCCACACTGGGGATTGAGCCCGCAACCCGGGCATGTGCCCTGACCGGGAATCGAACCCTGACCTCCTGGTTCGTAGGTCGACACTCAGCCACTGAGCCCTGCGGGCGGGGCCCTCGCCCACTTGTTTTGAAGGTTTCTTGTCCCATCACCTCTGGGGCTTTTACATGTGTCCCCCCAGGCGGGCCCCCGGGGGAGGTGAAAGGCGGGGCTCCCGCAGCCCCTCTGCCCAGGGCTAGGGCGCTCCTGGGGGGGGGGGGGGGGGGGGGGGCTGTGACGCCCTGTGACCGTGTGCGCTGTCTCCCACCCACCAGGGGCTGGCGGATCCAGTGGAGCATCGTGCCCGAGGTGTCCGAAGTGGTGGTAAGTCCCGGGGTGAGGGTCTCGCCCTGGGTCCCCTGCAGGGCCCCCGAGGCCAGGTGCAGCTGATG